GCAAAAAATTTCATTTTTTCCCATCTATTTATATGTCGAACTGTCATGGCATATCGTGTATTTCATTAAAAATCGTTAATAAAAAAATCAATAAAAAACGGACGTTAAAAGAAAAATATCACATGCAAAAACCTTATAGCGCTCTGGTGAAAAATATGCATCTTGCAGATATGCAGTGTGATTTCACAGCAACGAGTTGTAGTTTGTAAAAATCGAGGACAAAATAAATGATTATATTAAGTCAGGCTAGGGCTCCTAATTGCAAACAAGTGGCGTAAGTTTCGTTCTTAAAAGATCTAGAGCCCTTCAAAAAGTCTTCTTCTTTTAAAGAATTAAAATAAACTCTTTACAGGCTGAGTTTTCTATGATATTCTCTATGGGTATCTCGCAAACCACTGGAGCTAGAAAGTCGGTCAAATGGGGAAATAATTGCAGTTTTGAGATCGTATCCTCAAAAATGTATGGTCCAAGGAGAGTTGAACCAATAATCCCCCACGCTTTTCTTCATTTGGAAAATTCATATACTTACAATTTTGCGTCTCGATAAAAAATAAATTTGTTTGGATGTGGCAATGACATCTCTGAGAGCGATTTAACTTGTTTTCATGGCTAATTAAGTGAAATTAGTCGAAAAACATAAGAATTGGCTATAACTCAGTAATTTTTGGAAAAAAAATATATAAACACGTGATAATAAATAAAATATATCTAAGCACTTTTCGGAAAAAGCTTAAAGAGGTTTACATGAGCCAACAGATTTGACGTCTCCCTAATCCAGATCACTTTTTTTATCAGTTTTGTTTTTTTATTGTCATAATATATGATTTTTTTTTGTTAAATTATTTTATTTTTTTATAAATATTTCTTTGTTTTTCTGGTTATTTTCTGTCTGATTTACTAATTGTTGTAGTGCAGGTGGTGCTAACTGTAATTGTATATTTATTTTTTTTTTCTTTGAACAGGTTAAGTAGAGTAGCCATGGGCTAGACTTTGCCTGAAGAAGGAGTATGTATTTTGTTACTTTTCCTTTAATAAAGCCATTTATTATTATTATTATTATTATTATTATTATATTATAGCTTATATCGCTGGAAAGCTTAAAAATGGCGCTTTTTATGAAATCATGGCCAACTATGGTTTCCATTGGCTATTTATAATAGCCGAAATTTGTTTTTTTGCAAATACACATCTAGTAAGCCATAGACTTTGTAGCATTTTATTTAAATTACACATAATTTATTTAAATATGTACAGAATTATTTTATTTAAATAAATCAAGTTTAAGTCCTTGCACCGAGATGGCATTCTAAGTACTGCTATTGTCTTTTATTTTTTTCTCCAAGTTTATTTCTGGCGAAATATTTGAGTCCGGTCGAAGTTTGTTGATCACTTTTTATCTGACGGTGTATATTCGCACTTCGTGCCTACCTTCCCTCGCCATATTGGTGGTAAAGGTTCAAACCGATAGAGCTATCGGCGGTTGTTGGCATTTTGCCAATTTGTTTGAGAAAACCCTCTGTGCAGAGGGTTTTAATTATGGTACGCATTTGGTTTAATGGTAGCATTTTCTGGTGCCATTTTGTTTTTTGTACCTGACATTTGGGCCACGTTTTGTCCCTACAATTCACACCGGGAATAACGGAGGAATCTCCTGATTCCACAGCAGTTTAGGATCATGTCTGTGTAGAGACGTTTTTATCACAATCCAGTTCCAGTAGCACTTCACCACAACCAGCTTGTGACCAGAACGGATAAAAAAAGGCCAGATCATTTCTTTTTATATAATTTAAATTCACTTGAATGCATTAAGCCCTTCAGGCATATTATATATTTGATTGCTTTAAAACCGTTTTTAATTTTTCAAGAAATTACTTCAAGAGATATTTTGAAATAAATGCCACTTCATCATTATCACTCTTATATCTTTATAAGAGGGTGCAATTCAATTTCAAAACTGACGTTATGTTTCCGGAGATAAGATCATCAACTTTATTTAAATACGTAGCTGCATGTTGTATAGGGTTGCCAACTCAAAATAAAAAATAGAGGACGAGAGCAGTGGCGTAGCTAGGTAACCAAGGGCCCTGGGGCAAACTAAAAGATGGGGCCCCACTGCTATGTAAACTGATTAGATTTTATCAAATAAAAATATGAAATATACAAATACTTTAAAAATGCTAAGCTACTTAAGCTCCTTTTTGTGCACTGCAAGGCAGGTAATAAAAATATTAAACAGTAGCAACATAAATTACAATTAATAATTGGTGTAGGTTTGGCTAATAAAACGAAATAGAGAAGATTCAAGGGTTTATTATATAAAGGTCGGGCTTACCAACTGACTAAATAACAATTATATTTACAATTTTTTCCTAGCTTTAGTTTTCGCAAAAGTATCAATGACTTCGTTTAAATCCAGGCTTGATGCGGTTTTGTTTTCAATTGCTATTAGCGATAAATGTCGGAGTCGAGTTTGGCCCATATTATTTCTTAAATTATTTTCTATTATTTTTAATTTGTTAAATGACCTTTCAGCTGCTACAGAAGTGACAGGAATTGTAAAGAATAATAACATTGCTGTAAATATTTCCGTTAGGTCGCATTCTAGCACTCCATATTTGCTCATTATTTCCTTACATAATTGGTGAACAGTCCATGCTTGAGTTAGTTGAGGTACAACTAGGTGGTAAATATTAGTAAATTGAAGTGAAAAACTATATATCTGAATATTTTCTTTGGAATTCGTCACACTTTTGTAATCAAGTTGCTTCATCAACATGTAATAAAAATGTTGGTGTTAGAAAATCGAATATATGACAGACTGCACTCATACCAATAAAACGTGTATCTAATTGAGATATTACTGTGTCTAGTACATTATTCAAAATCTCAATTTTAAATATTTTTTAGCAGCTAATTCATCAAAATGTTTTTTTAACTTTTCTTTGCCTTTTTTTTATCGATACCATATTTACTTGTAGTTTTACTGGCTTTGCACTTGAATAATTCGAAATCATTTCTATAAATTTGCAACTTTGCTTTGATCTCTGGCTAAAACTTCACTCGCCTCGCCTAAATTAATGTTTCATTTTTGTAAAGTTTTGGATACATAATTGATGTCGTTTAATACACTGCACATAAAACGCACATATCACTATCCGCCAAATTGACAACACTGCCAACTTACAGAAAGAATTTAGGGGAATTCCCTAGGCATAATTTTTGAATTTCTCTCAACTGAGTTGTCATGATTAAAGTGGGGTTGCAACCTGTCATATTTATTTTGAAAATGGGAGAATTTTCGAAAAGTTCAGTTCGATCGAGATTTCTGATAAGGATTCGAGGGCCCCCCTGAATTTGAGGACCTCGGGGCACTGCCCCGCCTAGCCCCTAGGTAGCTACGCCACTGGACGAGAGGGTAAAAAAGAGGCACAGGCGAAACATGTTTTGAAGCTTTGCCCAAATGTCTAGAATTTACCAAAAAGTTGTATACGGTATGCGATTGATGGTCTTTCTTACTTTTTTTAACAATACTTAAAACAAAACTTTTTTTTAAACATAAGCTAACAGCCTTAACAGTAAGGTGACATAAAATAGTTAAACATGTTTGTCTGTTCCACAAATATTTCTTATACACCAAATACTTCTTCATTTTCTTTTCTGTAGAAACGAGAGGTAGTAGCGAAAGAGACAAATTAACAATTTTTTCAAGCACTGTGGCGATAGACAAATATTTTACGTGAGAGAAAAGAGGACAGTGAGATCAAAAAGAGGACTGTCCTCTGGAATAGAGGACGGTTGGCAACCCTAATGTTGTATTTCCTTTTTAAAACCTTATTTACCTTTCCCAACTGCAATGATGTTTGACACTTACCGACTTACCAAAAAAAAATGTATGAAAGTGATCTCAATATTGTGCTCAATAGCTAAATATACACGTTCTTAAGAAAGTAGATTTTCAGTGTATTCTGGTGGTAGAATTATTCTGAATAGAGTTATGGCAATAAATTAATTAATAAGAATTATTAAAATAAGGTTATATACTACCTATACCGGGTGCGTCTCAAAAATGGCTCACCCACATAACTTTTTATTTTTCCAGATAAAAAAACGACATTTTGTATGTTAGTATACGACATAAATTAGGATTGATTGACGTATTCAATTGTTTTCGGTTACTTCCTTTTTTCACCGGAAATGACTACAACTTTTGATTTTTAAATGGCACCGTCGGTTTTTTTACTTTATTCGATAGGAAATGACACTCTGAATATAATGTCATATCACATGTCAACTTTTGACATTTTCGCTTAAAAGAAAATTGTATTTTAAATTTCAATCTAGAGGGACATGGCTGTGTTAAAAACACTAATTTTTAATCATGGAGCCTTGGAAAAATAGATTTGATCGTCTAATGTGGACACTGGCCGGTTAAAATATGCAATGGAACGAGGGTGGCTCATGGTATGTAGCATATTTGGAAACAGCATTTTTTTACGAATAATTTGGTACCACACACTTGGTATTTTGAATTAAAATGTCGTTATGAATTGCATATTGCAATTTCAAATAAACCATATTCGAAAATGTCCAAAGTTGTCCTAGGATATGTAATTCTATTCACAGTGTCATTTTCTATCGAAATAAAGTAACAAAATGCCGAGGGTGCCATTTAAATATCAAAAGTTGTAGTCATTTCCGGTGAAAAAAGGAAATAACCGAAAACAATTGAATACGTCAATCAGTCCTATAAATTTAAGTTTAAGTTAAATACTAACATACCAAATCTCGATTATTTTTTCTGAAAAATAAAAAAGTTATAGGGGTGAGCCACTTTTGAGACGCAGCCGGTATAAAAAATATTAAAAAATAGGTACCTTCGAAAAAAAATCGAATTATCTTCAATTGAGGTATAGGAGAGGAGATATTTGCATAATTTCGCTATTTTCATTACACATACTGACAATTATAACAAGCTTAACGAATTCTTCCATTGTTTTCAGCACGCTATCCCACCCAAAACATAAATTCGTACCCGGAAATCAGGAAACCAACGCCTCTGGTGCCGACGCCAGTCGTCGTAAAGCCTCCCACCAAGCAATTGTCACAGACGCCCATCAAGCCCAGGATCGTGGTCGCCCTTTACAGTTACGATGCCAGGGATACGCAGGTATGTAAACATAAATATTTTGCTGGTACATAACGAAATTAAATCAAACACTTGATTTGTAATGTGTTGAAAGAGAAAAAAGTTAAAGTAAAGTATTAGTTGCATATAACGAAAAGTTAGTTACATATTCTAATTTATTACAGTGCAGAATGTTGGTGTAGAATTTACAAGTGTAATTTAAGGTAGTAAATGCTTATATTGATTCAGTCATTAAAGCCGCTGTTATACTTTATATTATACCGATTTGGTAATTTTAGAAGTGTGGTCTGGATTTTAACCAGGATGGCCACAAGAAAATTTTTGGTTGTACAGAACTTGACCATAAAAATGTGTAGCATTGGCCGCGTTCACAAACTATCGGGTCAACATGTTTTATTCAGCGGTCTCCATTTTTGGAAGCGACGATTTATTTTGCTTGTTTAATTAAACTCTTCTTTATTTGTTTAAACCGCCTTTATTACTTATTTTCTGTGTCTAAACTGTTATTTACTCTATGGTCGTGTTTCATGAGTGTTCACCAGAAAGATCCAGCGCTGAATAATCAAAGCGCAAACGGTTTGCTCTAGTGAACGCGGCTATTGTGTAGCTATCCATGACCAACCTAAACTATCCAATAAGACGTACGTTCGTCAAATTTTTTTATTCCCCACTCATTGTTATACGTCAATATATTCATTTTCCATTTCATTTCCTCCCATACCAGCAAGGATTGCAGTGACGTCAAAATTGATGCCGCGAAACTAACGATTTTATGGACAAATTAGACCGGTTTATTCTGTTTAAAAACTGTAAACTATTCAGGACCATTTAATCGGCCAAATTTGTCCATAGAAACTGCAGTCCTTGCTGACATGGGAAGAAGTGAAATTGAATAATATTCACGTATGCAAACGAGTGGAAGTTAGCATCTACAGTGACGTAATTAAGGAGTAAATTTGGCCACAATACGTACTATGTGTTATTTAAGGGATTATGTAATCGTGTCTATTTACCGTTTTTGGCTATTGTCTATTGATCTATGACTCATGACCCAGTTCTGTTCATACTCTGACATTTTACTGAACACCTGAACACTGATGACGGTAAATATTTGTCAGTTCAAAATTTAAAGTACACCTGCGGCCTCTTTTGATGTACTAACTTAGATAACTTAAAAGCAAAAAAATCATCAGCTTCTGTGAGCTGAATTACTGTTCTGCTGTTATTAGCCGACCATACCAATAGGTATGGTAGGCTATTAGGATCGGCAAAAAAAAAGTTTTTTAAGTTCACTCAAAATGAGTTACTTGGGTCATTCTTCTTCTTAAGGTGCCGTGCAGATTCCTGCGTAGGCGTTCATCTTTTTCTTCCTCATCAGATGGTTCTGTTAACTGCCGCGACTTGGAGTGCTTGGAAGTCCTGTATGACGAATATTTCTCAGCCAGGATAGCTTCCTTCGTCCTATCCCCCTTTTGCCCCCCTCTATTTTACCCTGGAGAATCAGACGCTGAAAGCGATAGCGTTCTCCACGTAGTATGTATCCCAAATAGGCTATTTTCCTCTTCTTGATGATTTCGAAGAGTTCATGTTGTTCCAGACCAGCTCTTCTGAGAATGTCTTCATTCCTAACACGGTCGACCCAGGGCACTCTTAGCATTCGTCGTAGGGTCCACATTTCGAAGGCTTCAATTCGGTTTATTGTTGCTACCTTCAGTGTCCATGCTTCCACACCATATAACAAAACGGACCAGACATAGCACTTCACTATTCTGTATCTAAGGCCGAAGTTCAAATTCCTATCTGTGAGAAATCTTCGCAGTCTCAGAAAAGTAGATCTTGCTTGTTCGATCCTGCATTTGATCTGATCCGGATCCCACGTTTCGTTAACCATGCATCCCAAATATTTAAATTGTGTGACCTGCTTGATGACCTCTCCATTTAAGTAAATTCTGGTGTTCGGAATATTGTTTCTGCTAACAGCCATAAATTTAGTTTTTGTAGTATTTATGTTTAAACCCAATCTTTGACTTTCACTGTTAACCTTATTTAGAAGGATTTGGAGATCATTTGCATTGTCTGCCAATATCACTGTGTCATCCGCATATCGGATATTATTAATTGGAATACCCTTTATTTTCAAACCAATGGGACTATCGGAGATTGACTCAGTGAATGCTCTTTCCACATATAAATTGAACAACATTGGGGATAGAATACACCCTTGCCTTACCCCCTTTTTTATTTCAAAATCGAATTTCAGCTTTTTGGTTCCAATACAAATTACTGATGAGCATTATATCTTTTCCATCAAGTCCCAAGTCTCTGAGGTATGATATAAGGAGGTTATGTTTAACGTTATCGAACGCTTTTTCATAGTCTATAAAGCACATGAAGACATCTTGATCTTGGCAATTCTGTACTAAAGTTTGAAGACTGAATATGGCTTCTCTAGGACCAAAGCCGTTCTTAAATCCAAATTGACTTTCTCCACTTACTTCCTCACATTTTTTGTAGAGTCTTGTATGCAGTACCCGTAAAAAGAGCTTAAGAAAGTGGCTCATTAGACTAATAAGACGATACTCTTTACACGAAGTTGCGTTACTTGACTTGGGCAGCGTGATAAACGTAGAGGGAATAAAGTTCTTTTTAAAGTAGGGAATAAAGTTCTTCACTGACTTTTGTAAATTCTCATCCATTAAAATACCAACCCCTCGCTGATGATTTTGATCAATACTGCCATTGCCGGAATAGTAAAAGACTTTGCCTTTCGATTTAATAATTCCAGTGCCAGGCCAATGGACTTCAGTGACTCCAAGGATATTTACCTCCATCCTGTTCATCTCCTGTATTTAATTGTCAAATTTTCCAGCTGCAAACAATGTTTTCACATTCCAAGTCGCAATTTTTGTTATCTTATCTAGTTGGAACCGGGGGATTCTTCGCACCTCTTGACCACTTAAGCTCTACCCGGGACTAGAGGCCATTTGTTTTTGAGCTTCCAACATAATAAGAAATACTAGGATGAATATCCTGAGGATATCTATGAAGATCTTTAATGCGGTGGTTTCCCGTTGCCTTCCGCATTTCCCTGCCGTTGACCACCTACTGGTTCTTTCGCCTTTGGGGATGATTTCTCATCCCGAGGACAAGGAAGTGCCCTCACTCTTGTTAGTTCTTCCACCCGAAGCTGTTGACTTACAAGAGGGAACTGCTTATACCGGCAGTCATTCGGTCGACAGAGCCTCGTTAGTTTTCTAGCAGGGTGCACCACGTGCAGGTGAGGTTGTCGGTTGGGTTAACATAGGTAGGTATATGTTATCACCCCTATCACTCCACTTGGGTCATAAATGACCTAAATACAAAATATTTTCATGGTGTCTGTCTGTCTGTCTGTCTGCCGTCTGTAACACGATAACTCAAAAACCGCTGAAGCTCAGGTGATTGTGGTGTAGCTGTGCAATCATTGAAGAAAATATGTAGCAAAGTACACAATTGTGTAGCTTGTGGCAACCCTGATTTAACGTATTAACGTATAAGACGATAATAAGAATAATAAATGACCGGTTGACAGACCGAGAGACAAAATCAAAAGCGGCATACAGTGTTGCCGGTTTTTTACGTTTGTAGGAAAATTTGTGTAGAAAAAGACTATTTTAAAAACTTTCATGTATACTACTGAAGTGAAGATAATATATCTAAGCTAAATATAATATTTGTAGTAAAATGAGTAACTAATTGTGAAAAATAAGGTTCCAACTCTAAATGTTGTTCGTAAATGTTGTGCGGTTTGAACTTTTGATGCACAATCCGGCAATACCGCATAGAAGAAATGTATTAACTCAACTTTTATCTCTTTAACACATGTGATTTTCTATAGTTTCCATTAAGCTGCCTATATCACTGTCTTACACGTTAAAATCCAGACCACACTTCTAAAATGACCAAATCGGTATAACGGTACTTTTTTAAATTGACGATTTTGAATTCTCTTTTGATGTAATTTTGAATCTAAATAAAATATGAGACTTCAAAAACCATATCGCGCGCGTTCATGGTTCATGGTAACGTAATAAGAACAAATAGGCAGGTATTCATGGATTACATTACCAGAAAAAAGCAAACAGTTTTTTTAGAGGGGTGATTTATTGAAACTTGAAAATCTTGTTGTGTTTAAAACAAATATTTAACAATAATATTTACTTTGAAAACATACATTTATAACCCAGTTTAGTGCTTTAAGTACATATATTGAACATTGTTCGAGCTCATGGCAACACATATAATACAGAACAATATTTTGACATCTCGAAATTCATATAGAGATTACATTGATTTTTCGATACTTGTATAGGGCTACCAGACATCCGGGTTATCCGGAAAAATCCCGGGTTTATGTCTTGTTGTCCCGGATCCTGGATAACCATTATACTATCCCGAAAAGCGCGAATCAAATTAAAAAATACACACGTAATATAGGGTAATATTATTCCATCACAATTTTCGATTTAGCTTCGTTCATTTTTATCTCATTATTTGCCTTCATTTATGATATTTTGGTAATTATATACATATAATTATCTTCGTTTATGTTGTTAGTGCTATTAAAACATGTTTTAAAAATGTATATATACCTCTACAGGGTTGTTCACCACATACGACACGGAGTATTGTAGCAAAAAGATTAGGTTTTTACAAATTGTAAGTTTTGGGTTCGTTGAAGGACTAGAGCTACAATTTAAAAATAATTTTGCAAGATACAGAGTTTTTTTTTTAAATAGAACACCCTGTATATTATTCTATTTTTAGCTTCTACGACTGAAATAAAGGTAAATTTGATTAAGGTTTATTATACTTAAACCTTACCGTTTTTGAAATATTTTTAATTTTGTGAAATTGCAGTAAAAAATGTAAGGCTTCATTTCTCCAAGGGTAATACTAAATCTTTACTAAATATTATTTATTGATCAGTTATTATGTTGCAATAATAAAAATTATACTACCTTATACAGAGTGTTCAAAAAATTATATTAAATAATTACTAGCTTTCAACGACAATAACTTGTTTAATTTAAATGGAACATCCCGTATATTTTACGGGAATCAGATGCACAATTTAATTGTCTATCAAATTGTATTATACCATTTTTTACCTTTTTCTTCAAGTTTTCGTAGAAAATGCATTTTCTAATTATTTAGACCTCATTATCACTATACCCATGGAATATTGACATTTTAGCACAATTTTAGATTTTTTTAAAGCAACATAATGTACAAAATATACAGGTGGTAAAAATAATAATATTTTAAGCCCATTTGTTTAAAAAAAGAAAATTATTTAAAGCTTTGTAAAAAGGTATACCAATTATTACTAATTATTAATATACTCCGCCTATTATTTCCGCCCAATAATTAGTTAATTACATACTTAATTGTTTTAATTAATAAATTATTCTAAATAAATGTGGATTTGTCTCAGAAATCAATACAATAATAAGTTATGAAAATGAACGTCTCTGTTGTTATAAATAAGTATTCGTCAAAAAATGAAATAAAATTTATAAGGTGTTACTTTTTACCACACTGTCTAGTACACATACAATATTAATTTTTTTAGTATTTGGAGCAATTATTGTTAATCAACGTAAACAGTCAATTAATGTAGTTTAAATACTGGGATCATATTAATTGGTACTATTTAACAAATATATAAACAGTTTTTCTTATTGTTTTAATGAAATAAGCGAATTATATCGACAATATTAGTATCTGGTACTCTTTGAAAATTTGTAACATTTTTAAAAAAAATCCAAAATGTCAATATTCCATGAGTATAGTGATAAATGAGGTCTAAATTATAAGAAAATGCTACTTTTACGAAAACTTGAAGAGATAGGTTATAAATGGTATAATACAATTTGATAGACAAATTGTACATCTGATTATCGTAAAATATACAGGGTGTTCCATTTAAATTAAACAAGTTATTACCGTGTAAAGCTAGTAATTATTTAATATAAATTTTGAGACACCCTGTATAAGGTAGTATTTTGTTTATTATTGCAACACATTATCTGATCAATACATAAACTTCAGTAATTATTTAGTATTAAAAACTTCGATACCCTTGGAGAAATGAAGCCTTAAAAAAATAATAAAAAATATTTCAAAAACGGTAAGGTTTAAGTCTGATAAACCTTAATCAAATTTACCTTTATTTTAATCGTAGAATCTAAAAATATAATAATATACAGGGTGTTCCATTTAAAAAAATACAACCATAATATTTTTTACTTATTTGGGACACTCTGTATCTTGTAAAAATATTTTCAAATTGTAGCTCTAATAGTCTTTGAACGAACCCAAAACTTACAATTTGTAAAAATCTAATCGTTTAGCTACAATACTCAGTGTCGTATGTGGTGAACAACCCTGTATAATGTTACCTATGTGGCGGATTCATCTCTCCAAAAAAATCCTATATGGGTATTTCGCCACTGCAAGAAAATCTACAAAATAAAATAGTTATTTTTGCTATAACACTGCTGCGTTAATCCAACGGAGACTAACGGAGACAATTGTCAGCAGTTAGGTTTACTGATAACTGATAAACAAATTTGCCTAACGAACAAAAAAATGCTTAACGTTTCGGAAAGTTTATCTCTTTCCGGCGTCGGAAGCAAAAAAAATACAAAGAATAAAGAAAAAAAACTATTTAAAATATTTAAATGCAACTATTGGAGAACACTTTAGTTTTTTTTAAAAAACAGATACGTCTACAAAACCGTTGACGTTCTGTTAAAATGCCATATATCAAGTTAAACTTCAAAATTAACAATTATTACCTGATAACAAATTAAACAATTACTTAATAAGGTAAAACCAAAAAGCTTCAAACTTTCTGTATGATTATTTTTAATTTGTTTTTAATTTTTACGTATGTTATGTTTATTTATGTTATGTCCTTTAAAATCAAAGAAGCGATTGCCATACATTACCAACATCTATACAGATGCATAAGCAATACATTTATTTTATTATATCGATTGTATTAAAAAAGACTCTTATTTTTCTTTTAGAGGCTATCGCTCATTTCATTATAATTTTGGCGTTGTTTAAATTTATTCTGTGTCCTGTGCCCTGTGTCCCATCCCATGAATGTTGATAAAACTTAGATTTGTGAAAGTGGCCCTTTCTTATTAATCTTTATGGTTTTTAATTCGAACATTTAAAAAAAATAAATACAAAAAACATTTTTTATTTTTTTTTCCGACGACGGAAAGAGATAAACTTTCAGAAACGTTAAGCATATTTTTGTTCGTTAGGCAAATTTGTTTATTGACTGACAATTAGTCTCCTTTGGATTACCGCAGCGTGTTTACAAAAAATAACTATTTTATTTTGTAGATTTTCTTGCAGTGGCTATAATTTATTTTAATTTAGTTTTCACTATTCCTCTAATTTTTTTTGCTCTCGCTTTTTTGTTCTCCCAGATATAACAATATGGCAACTCAATACTTGTATCAATTAAAACAAAGAATTAGGCCAGTTGTAGCTGAACGAGCCTACTTTATTTTAAAATTTTAGAACTGTTATTAAAAATGACAAAGAAATAAAATAGAAAAACTGTATGCTGGCAATAACTGTTCCGAATCAAATAAAATAGAATTAACATTTATTTAATTTATGCTTCCTTAATTGGTTTAAACGAATATTAAAGCGCCAAAGAACTTGCCGCCACACTATAAGTGAACAAAGTATGACGACCTGATTGGCGAAATGCCAAACTGCATATTCAAAATATGAATTAAGATAGTTGTTTTTCCTATCCGCATTTTGGATAGAATTAGAACTCACTGCGGGCTTTAAAAAATCCATCTTTTTAAGATTCTTTCGAATTACTCGATGGATTTAGAGAAAATCGTAATGTTTTGATCTTTTTTTTTCATAGCAACTGTTAATTGTCTTGTATCTATCAAAAATAGTAGATAAAATAGTACTTTAACCGCAAGGGTAGTGTAAATGGTACTTTAACAGCGAGGATAGGTTAAACTTTATTTCTTCTCGCACTTTATTTCTTCTCGCACGTTTTTAATTGCTTCCATTTTTAAAAATTTTTGTATTCCTTTTCCTAAGTTATTCGGGATTTAAATGGAGGTAGTTTGGATATGGCGTTTGTCGCATCAGCCTGAATATCTGTTGGTAATTTACTTATTTCGTTTTGAGTCATTTCGGGCTCCAATTCAATCAATAATCGACACGAAAGAGAATTAAAAAATATTGACTCAAAACTGACAATTAGACAGCTTTATTTATTTTTTAAATTACATAGAAACCAACGCCAACCCAGCACAATTTTTTTTCTACTCGTAATAAATTCTTTGAAATAATAATTTCTGAATATTTTTTAAAACGTAACTCACTATGGAAAAAAAATATGGTTTTATACACGACCAAATTAATTATAAATATATTAATTGTTATCATTTATATCAACAAAACTTATCTTCTTAACAGCACTTAGGGGTCATAAAGGGTCATTATTACCACTTTCCCGTTCAAAATATTCTAGGAAAGGTGCGATGAGTTTTTTACGGCTATTAAGCTATTTTCACACTTCGCAGTAAAAGAGGTTCTAAAAAGAAGAATGTTCGACTGCAAGGTCTGCTAGTAAAAATGTATAAGCTTAAAGTATCACAATATAATTCATTTTAACCAAAAACTCGTAATACAAAACTAAAATGTCAAAACGAATGGCAATATCAGGAAATAAATAAATAAATGTGGCAACTTAACACTTTTTACAGCGGAGCTACCGCCTGAATCCCCAGCGGGAAATGTAAATTCCAGTTGCCGAATATGTCCATGGTTGGTAACAATGAATTTGAAATTCGCGCCCTCGATTACGTAACTAAAAGTTTAATTGATATGAAATATACTTGGATATTATATCTAATGACTTTTTTGTAATGAATTTTAAACTTTATATTTTTTACAGGATTTGTCGTTCAAGAAAGGCGATAGAATGGAGGTACTTAACGACAGTGATCCTGACTGGCTATTCGTTGAACACTTACAGACCAAATTGAAGGGCTATATTCCGGGTAATTTTGTAGCACCTGAACTTAGCGTAGAAAGCGAGGAGTAAGTAGTAATGATTATTTTAATTAGTATTTGTTTAACCTAAGTGCACGTTCATATTGGAACCGCTCGAGCGGTGAGCTTTGCGCGATGTCGCGTCGCTCACATGGCGGCGCAGAAAAATAATTTTGGCTTTAGATTTCAAATCAGTGTGAAAAAGTCAAGATTTCAAATCAGTGTGTCATATTGTCAAAAAAGTGCGAGCGTTGCAACTCTTCGTGCAGCTCGAGCTCTGGACTTGAATTCTGCTACAGTTGGAGAAATAGTTTTTTTTAAATTAGATTCCTCGCTTAGGGCTCTAACTCACTGACGACCAGGGCCATGTAAGTGAAATATTAAAAATGGTTCCAGCAAAAGTTTCCCAATTATGACGGATGATGGCGCTGATCGTCAAAATTTTTGGACAGGGATTTTGCTTACCGACAATACGACGTGAGCTACGACCGGACCAGGACCAATCAGAATGATCAGTCTTTCTTGGACATTTGCCGCGGAAGTGTGTGTGTTAATTTCTGTTGTGATGTTAAGTGTGGTTGTGTTTGCAGTTTGATTTTTCGGTTTTGATATTATGTTAAAATTAATTTTGAAGTATTGTATCACCTGTTTTTATGTAATAGTACTTTTTTTAGTTCTATGATCTGATATGTTATGATTTGTTAATGTTTGTTTAACAATGTTATACCAAAGAGGTTATACTTATCAATTTGCATAGTCTAACTTTTTCATCAATAAACTTTGTAGATTTTCAGATTATTTAATTCCTTTTGTTTCCGTTTGTAATTTTATTTTTAAGACATATTATGTGATTGTTTCACATTATATGTTTTAAAAATAAAATTGCAAATACCGAATAAAAATAATTAAAATAAAAAAGTGTATTTTACAATCCCCCCGGCCCCGCACCCCTTTGGCTAACCAATAATATCAGCTATGTCGAGAGATGGCGTTACGAAAATGGAACCGATTTATTACAAGGAACTTGGGCTTCTTTTTCGTTAGTATATTCTGTGCTGACGACCAGCCGTCGGCTGGCCGGATGTATTGCGTTTATAGCTGCGACCAGATGAACGACCAGTTTCAACAGAGTTGTCAGATCTAACGATTTTTTACGTTTTACCAATTAGAAAATATTGTTTCAGAAATGTTAAAATATCCGAGTTAACTAAAAAGTGAAGTTGCTATTCATGAGCTTATTAAATGTTCTAATATTAAATAATGCATTGGTAAATTGAGTAAGTAAAATCTCCAACCCCGACTATACGATAACGTCGTTATTTCCATGTGTTTCAAATCCGCGATGCCTGCTATTCCATCAGTTGTTTCATAACAGAATATTCTACATCCTACGTCTATGTAATTTAATATGTGTAGAGTGAGACATGTAACTCGTGAGATTTTCAGCATTATCAATAAAGGACAAAAACAGTATTGTTCCTAAAGGTGCGTCCAGACTTGAGCATTTTAGCCCGAACGAACCGAGCTCACACGAACAAGCCGAACAAATAGGCCTAACAAAAAGCATTGTGTACGCGCGACCGACAAAAAGAGATATTCTGTTTCTTTTTTCTACTGATATGAACTTCTAATGACGGCTCTTATCGAATTTAGAAGTAAACATATTAGGGCCATCGTAAAAAAAGGGCGTCAGACACTGGCTCTAAATATAAGCAGGTAGAAAGTTTAGCTTCCAGTTATTTCAATGTTTACAATATAAATTCCTCTTTTTTATTGTTACTGAGAATCTACAACAGTAAATACTTCTATTTTTATGAATGTTTAAGTTACTTTTACTCTAAGTTTTTTAAAATAATGTGCCTAGTAGAAATATAGTCTAATGGACACTGTTTGAAAAACGTTAAATGAAATATAATATTTAAAATACAGTTGTCCTCCTTGTACATGACTACAATACAACTAAAAAACGAATTTAATATAAAAAAAAGTGGTCGTACAAAAACTTTAAATATGATTTTTTAACATCGAAACTCGAAGGTATAATAACAGGTTCATACCAACCATAAATAGAGTATGCCATATGAAAATGTTTTGAATTTTTACTAGAATCGACCCTTGATAAAAAAGGGACTAGATTTAAGTTTCCCTTTGATCCAGTCTGTATACTATTTCTTTGGATTTTCTGCACGTGTGCAAAAACTACACTAAAACACTATATCTAATAGAAAATAAAATATTGTGCCTTGAATTTGAGGGATTTCATCTGAAAAATTATTAATTTGGAAGAAAACCGGCAACAAGCGGCAGAAAATAATAATATTTTAGTGCAGTCTACAGGTCGCAACGACCAACGGACGGCCAGGACGTTAGTGTGCGCGGTATCATTTGATTTAATGGTTTTAGAGGTAGCAGCCATATACATATAACTATATATACTCAGTGTTCCCTATTTAACCCCGTGTGCTGTTCCGTGCCGTAAGAGAAAGACAACATAACGCAGCTCCATATTAATGCTGCATAAGTCTATTTCACCCGGATATCGATTGAACTGCGATTGCGCCAAACTCCCATTGATTATAGTTTTAGTTCTGTTTGGATTACTTTTTATTTGTGCGTGTAAAAGAGTGATTTTGTTTAGTTTATTGTTTCCAACTATTTTTTGATATTTTTCCAACTTCATGATAATGTGTTATAAATAATAAAAATATAAATAAAATTGAAGGTTAGGTGAAATGTCAGTCAACCACTTCCCTTTAAAAACACGGACCAATGAAAACTTCTTCAGGTAAGGCATGCGCAATTAAGTGACTATCCGGGTGAAATAGACTTATGCAGAATTCCATATTTCTCTTTCACTGTTTGGGCTTCACTTTTTAGAGATTAGGCTGAGTATATAAAGTTATATGTATATGGTAGCAGCGGCCGGGCCGGTGCGACCTGGTCGTCAGTGTGTTCGAGCCCTTATGTTTTACTTTTTCTATAAAGAAATAAAATATTTTGATAGCCATCGTTAAAAACGATAAGAATTTTGCAGAGTCCCGACCCAGTTCAGAGTGCATGTGATAAAATTATCCATAAAGAGATTTTTAATCATTTTATGAGTAGTCTCTTTTTTTCGTATTTCTAATAAGTCTTTTTAGGCGTGAATTTTCTAGAAGCTTTCTAGAACCGAAACTTCCATAAAAGGCGATGTTTTTGTAGTAAAACTGAAGTCAACCAGTATTATAATGATAAAATCTTTAAAACACATATCAATCATTCATTTTCTAATAAACTATCTATTTATATTATTATTAATGATGAGTGAAATATATCGGTGTGACTTTGTCACTGATATTCTATAATCACAGTCACGGCCTGTGACTGATTTGAAAATAAACGGTGACTTGCTAAAGCGTGACGATTACAGTTAATTGTGATTTCTCTGGTAACAAGAAAATACTTCACAGAGCGGGACGTCGCGCGTCGCGAACGCAGCTGCCGATGGCGCCGGTCGTGACTCAGTTCACAGTCACGAGTCACGACGTACGTCTCATAGGATAGATATCTGACAAAGTGATCTAAAGACAGTGACTGTTAGAAGTGATTTAATTTTTTATGTATTTTATATTTTATTACTATTTTTTATCACTACGAATCGGTTTGGTTCCTTTTTAGTTTAGCAGGTTTTTTTAAAGCCAAACATAAAGTTTTACCTTTATACTGTTTATTTTTTTAGAAACTTCATTTTTTATATATTTCGTTTATTTTAATACAAATCAAAATATTTGTTGTTTAATGTATTACTTATCTCGTGTTGTTAAGTTTCGTTCGTTATGGTTATGAGCATATTGCATATTTTATTCTTTTCCCGTTGGTTTCTTTAAATAAAAAATTGTTTTATTTTTATTTTTTAATATACCTTTTACCCACTGTTTAGTGTTTTCTATTTCAGCGGCCTTGGATAAAGGACAAATAAAAATTAGTATAACAACAACAACAGAATCGTATCATTCGTATCGTATCTTATATTTTAGCCGTGATTGTGCTTTCGGATTCATAATCATAAAGTCACAGTTAAGAGTCACAGATAATACAAAGTCACTGTCACAGATAAGCCTGTGAACAGAAAATCACGGTTTGGCTCATCACTAATTATTATCACCCCTTATTTCAAAATGCATAAATACTATATAAACACTGCTTTTTTAAATACTATAACTTAAAAAAAGACTAAAAAAACTTAGAAACAAAATATTTTTCATATGCTTGTTTACTTTACAGCGCTTTCATAGCGCTTTCAGATGGAGCGGACAGTCCGCGCTGTTTTTTCAAGATAACTCATCTGGACGGAGCATACGCAACCCATGTGAAATTGTTCATTTAAACTCATGAAACTCGCGGACGCTCCGCTCCAACTGAAACCGCTGTTAGGTTAGGTTAGGTTTGGTTTGTTCTTCCTCTTCTTCCAAAAATCTACACGAAATGTAATAATTGTCAAAAGTAAAATGTCATCAGCTTTATAACTTCAATAATTATCAGTATATACAGGATGCTACAAATTCGAGGTACGAGCATTGGTATCTCGGAAACCGTAGTTGATACGAAGATGGTTAAATTGCGGCAAAGTTGCTCCTTGGGATGTGCACCAAGGTGTCATCAAAAAGGTTTTAAAAATTTCAAGGATTGCCGAGTTTTTTTGGAAAAAAACGGATTTTTTTGAAAATCAATTTTATTAGCCGACGATACCAATAGGTAGGTAGGCCGACGATACCAATAGGTAGGCTATTAGAATTGACAAAAAAAAAGGTTTTTTTTATTTCACTCAAAATGAGTTACTTGGGTCATAAATGACCTAAATACAAAATATTTTCAGGGTGTCTGTCTGTCTGTCTGTCTGTCCGTCTGTCCGTCTGTAACACGATAACTCAAAAACCGCTGAACCGATTTTAACCAAATTTGGCACAAAAATACTATGGCACCCGAGAATCTGGCCATTAGTTTTTGGTGGGGGTGGTGGTTTGGTAAGGGGGTATGGGAGGGGGTTAAAAATTTTAAAAAATCGTAACTCCAAAATTACAGTAGCTAGCGAAACGCGGTTTTCAAATTAAGATTAGGAATAATATTTGCAACAAAATTTGCAATAACATCAAAATCAGTCAAAGTCGCAGTTTTCGAGATATTAACATATTTTAGTATGGGCGGCTATAGGTATGTGCCTCCCGGCGCCAATTTTTTTTCCTGTTATTCCTTTTAAGAAAAAAAAATAAAAAACTAATTGTACATTCTCATAGCCACTTTATTAGAGCTATCTGATAATATTTTTAGATTTCTAAATTAGCTGATAATTTGTGAGATACAGAGGCCAACTTATTTTTTTTAAATACGTACCTGCATTTTTTATTTGAGGTTTTGAAAGAACTCGAATTTGAAAAATTTAATTTGAAGAATTTGAAAATTTAAAAATACTATCAGATAGCCCTAAGGATGTGCAGTTAGTTTTTTTATTTTTTAAAAAGTAACGACAAGAAAAAATAAATTGATTTTCAAAAAAATTCGTTTTTTTTTTTCAAAAAACTCAGCAATCCTTGAAATGTTTAAAACTTTTTTATGGCATCTTGGTGAACATCCCAAGGAGCAACTTTGTCCCAATTTAACCATCTTCGTATCTATTACGGTTTCCGAGATACCAATGCTCGTACCTCGAATATGTAGCACCCTGTATAATTAAACAATCTAATATTATAAGTTCAATAAACCTAAACATGTTCGGCCACAGCGCTAAATATCCCGAACGTTGTTTCGGTTTCGGCCGGATTACAGCCGAAACCGAAACTAAACCGTAAAGCTCCGCGCGCACTGCATCGGATCGGACCGACCAGCAAAAGCGACTGCGACCATCGTACATATAGACGGCCCCGGCGTCCACTAAAACATTTCGGCCTGTAGAGGCCAGATTCCTACCTCTACCTATCTACGATAGTCGAGTCACCGCCTTCGCCGTTTCTCGCCGGACTGGTACCGATTCAGTGCGCGTACACCTTAAAGGAGGGCGCGCACTGCATCGGATCGGACAGACCAGCAAAAGCGACTGCGACCATCGTACATATAGACGGCCCCGGCGTCCACTAAAACATTTCGGCCTGTAGAGGCCAGATTCCTACCTCTACCTATCTACGATAGTCGAGTCACCGCCTTCGCCGTTTCTCGCCGGACTGGTAACGATTCAGTGCGCGTACACCTTAACTCGTTATTTTTGCCGAAATTAGGCCGAAATCGGAATTTCGGTCGGACACTAATTACAACGCATGTGACGGTATATTATACCATTCAACGCGCAAATCTCACCGCTCAAGTGATGCCAATATGAACCTGCACCAATCAGCATTAGAATTTAAATTTAAATTTATTTATTTTAATATAATGTGGTGTATGCTGTTTCTGTCCTAAACGTTATATGTAAATGGTTACATTTTATTATTTTTATTTAAACGAGTGAAATTTTTTTAAATTAATTAGAGGTAGAAGGGTTATTAAAATATAGAAATTGTATTGGTACTACTAATTAATTTGTGATGAGAGTTAATAGTAGTAAAACTCAAATATTGTACAAATTTTCACAAAGAACTTTATAACAAACCTTGTTATCAGTTATAATAGAATAGCTAATAGATTACTCAAAGAAGGTTATGTATTTTTTGTTGTCTACAGACAGGGATCCTGCAATAGTGCGTCGGGCATCTGTAACTAATAGAATTAAAAACTTGGAAATGTTGTTTTAGTTCAAACCTAAAGTATGTACTAGGGTGCATTTCAGGAAAATATTTTAACATCTACAGGGTGGCTCAAAAGAGTGTGAGCGGATCGGGATTATTTTTTTAAATGGAACAGCCTGTATATTATTGCGTTTTTGGTTTTCTTTCAGATCACTTTACATCAAGAACCGTAAACTAATAGGATTGCTCATCCTCATAAGACGTACGTTCGCTTCTTCCCGCGCTACAGCTGACAGTTGTGACGTCATTGTAGTCCTTGTCATGATAGTGTGTATTATTGGTTGCCTATGGTAAACTAATAAAAATAACAGCTGAGAAATTTTGAGTTAATTATTTTGTCGATTCTAAATATGAAAATGGTGTTTTTAAAGTTTTTAGAGCTATAGAGTTTATAAATACGTTCATTTTGTGTTGTGGATTGCGACTGAGTGCTTACTAAGTTCCTACGATATTGTTTATTAATTATTTTAAAGCAAAATATGGAAGTACTCTAAAAAGAATGCCTGTAAAAGGTGATGCTGGGAACTGCTGTTCTTAAAAATGCATTATGCGACTAATACGATTTATACAGTTAATTTTCTATACTGCATACATATGTATAAGGTGTTTAAATAAATAAACTAAATATTGAATGTTTTGCATACGGCAACCAATAATACACACACTATCATAACAAGGACTACAATGACGTCACAAGGCGAAGAGTTTTTGCATGCACCTGGCAGACACTATCGGCTGAATGAGCAGTCCTATTAGGTTAACTGTTCTTGACTTTACATAATCCTAAGATATGACTAAATATGTTTCTATACTTTCATAGATATGAATGAAAAAATAATAAAAATATATTTTTCATCCTACATAAGTAGCCTCGTGTGTGAAGCTAAGTCACTAGTGAGTCAGTAATTAGTTAAGAAACAAAGTTACCTACCAATTTAGTCCTTTTCCAATATTTCCGTGTGCATTACTACAATATTATACTTGTGTGATAAATCTAAGGTACTAATGTTAATCTATTATCCATTTTCAGTTGGTTCTTCGAGAACATCTCCCGCAAAGAGGCTGAAAAATTATTGCTGGGAGATGAGACGCAACCCCGAGGAACTTTCCTCATCCGTCCTTCAGAGCACAACCCCAACGGGTATTCGCTGTCCGTCAAGGATTGGGAAGACCACAGAGGTTACCATGTAAAGCACTACAAAATAAAACCTTTAGATAATGGCGGATTTTATATTTCAACAAACAAGACGTTTGACAGCCTTCCAGAATTAGTGCTTGCGTATTCCAGTAAGTCTTTATTTGTAAACATTTCTTCTGTAGTTTTTACTCTATATTTATTTGTACATACGGGGTGAAATAATTTTTTTTAAATAAGTGCAAATATTTTCAGGGTTGGTAGATATAAGAAACATATTTTTCCTTTACTGTTTTTCAAATAATTTCAATATAACTGAGATATTTTCATTTAAAAATTTAAAAAAAATTGGGTTTCTGCTTAAATTTTGAGAACCACTGAATCTTTTCTAGGTTTTCTAGGTTGTAAATTAAATCTACTACCTATGTTGCCATATTATGAAGGTATTATATTTTTTAATTAAAAATTAAGAAAAATTCCAAATTTTGAAATTTTTTTTTCAAATCAAAAAAACCTCAGACTTGATTCTGGGGTAGAAAATACTACCCTTAAAAATATTTGCATTTATTTAAGACTCTCCCTGTATAGTATGACGTTGTTTACATTCAATCAAACAGTATGTCATAAACTTAATTGAAAGAACATTATTTATTTATTCCAATGATATAACACATAAACTCATGCGAAAGTTTCTAATTTCTAAAAAAAGGATTCTAATAAATTAATTATACAAATAACGATATTCCTATCACACTATCAGGAAAATTTAAGATTTTTTTATTGTACAGGGTGGGTCAAATTCGACGCTTTTAAAGGGAAACACTCTTTTCTATAGGAGATAGACGAAAACTAATATTGGTGTCTGGAGCTCAATTTTGATGGTGAAAACCGCACATCGATATCTGTTACCGTTATGAGTTGTTCAAAAATATGCATTTTTAAGAAATCGCTGTAACTTTTTTGCTATGAAAAATTTTGTATTTTTGTGAAAACATTTCCAAAGCACCTTTTTACGTAGAATTTAATGGTTTAAGTATATTTTTTTTAAAATGATAATTTAAGAGTTATCGCCACTTTTAACTAGTAGGCTTTGGACTCCTTATTGATGATCTGCCACTAATGGAACTCAAAAACATATTTTTCCAGCAAGACGAGGCACCGCCTCAGAACGCTGAAGTTATCAGCAAATTTTTGCAGTCAATTTCGAGAATAATTGAATAGCTAACCGAAATCCCAGTCGTTGGCCGCCGAGGCCGTCGGACTTAGTGCCTAGTGGATTTTTATCTTTGCGGAATTTCTTATTTTTAAATTGCCCGTATAAGCTAGACAAGAATTAGAAGTACTTAGCGGTTATGCGAGGGTATCTTTCACTCCCACTGAGTTAATGAATTCAGCGAGAAATGTTTAAAAACGGTCCCGTCTGTCCATAACAGAAGACGGTCATGTCGAACAACTGTAGCAGAATCTCATTTCTTGGTTTATTATTAATTTTTATTGTTATTAGATATAGTTTAAATGCGTTGATGTTGTTAAATATAGTTTAAATTGTTATAAACTTCTGCATCTCTTATTGCAAATATTATATTGCTGCTCACAGCTAGAATTTTTTACATTTGCATTACAGCGCGCGCCGTTCAAAGCCTACTTATTCAAAATTGGTAATGTTTAAAACCTCTATATCTCGAAGAGGAATCGAGCAAAATATCAAGTATGCTATATTTTTTGAAAGGTAATTTTAAAAAATTTTCAATGAATTAAAAATATACAGGGTGTCCCATATAAAAAATCAAATTTTCTGTTGATAATTCTTAAATTATTAATTTTAAAAAAATTATACTTAAACCATTAAATTTTACGTAAAAATGTGCTTTGGAAATGTTTTCACAAAGATGCAAAATTTTCCATAGCAAAAAAGTTACAACGATTTATTAAAAATGCACACTTTTAAAAAACTAACTCCGAAACGGTAACAGATATCGATGTGCGATTTTCACAATCATGTTTTTGATAAAAATTGACCTCCAGGCACTGATGTTAGTTTTCGTCTATCTCCTATAGAAAAGGGTGTTTACCTTTAAAAGCATCCAATTTGACCCACCCTTTACATAGACTTTTCCTTTCAGCAATAATTGTTAGCTTGAAAATTGTAGACAATGATGAATTATGATATAAGATATTTCCTTGGGACTTCCTTTTTGCTTCTATTTATATTATTCTGCAGCATTTTTAAGTTTTGGTGTAACACCAGTGTTAAAATAGTCTTCAGTATCATAACTTCCTGTCCTTCAAACAAAATATTGACTTTCTTTACACAAATTCGAAGGAACAAACAAGGAAATTCAAAATGACAAAAGTTATTTATGTTTTACTAATAGTTAGTATTTCAAAATAAAGTGTAGGTAGGTAAAAAGATGTAAATAGAATAGTATACCAACCTTGGATATAAGATAGTAGCTATTCTAGCACTAGTACACTACTCGGTATACTATATAATATATTGTGAGAGGATTTAGCTAAAATTCATTACGAGAGACACTAGATGTTATGTAACGAGAATGATAGGTTGGGAGAAATACTACACTCTAATATAGAGTTCGTTGAGAATAAGCGATTGAGAAAGTCGGGTTATTCTTATGAAATTCTGAGTACTACGACGGAACAGAAAAGTTACCAGTGAAATTCAGTGTTTTATTTGTAAAATAGGTACTCCTTTTGACATTCGATGTGTGTGATCAACGTACTAAAAGTACCACAAAAGTTTTAAAAAGTGTCATAAGTATGGGCAAATGAGATGAAACCATAAAGCATCAAGTTCAGCAGTGTTAGTGAATAAAAAGGATAATAGTACCTACAAGAAAATTTGGAAACTGTCTATTATGTAAAAATCCTTTGGAAAAATACCACACCTACTTCAAAAATGGTAAGATACAGTGGTGGCCAAAAGTATGGAAATTTTTTACTTTTTAAAATATCACAGAAATATTGCTATGCTTAAACTCTCAGGAATATAAATGAACAGCTTATCAGCAAATAAAAGTATTCCAAAAGTTGCACAGCGAAAAAAATCTGTTTAGCAGTTTTTGTAGGAGAACAATAGATTTCTTGTGGCCAAAAGTATGGAAACCATAAATAAATACATTAAAATTATTTAGTTTAAGCTGATAAACGGTACGATTTGCTTCAGATAAATATAAACATCATGCCCAAGTCTAAATATTTCTCTACGGATTTAAAAAATAAAATAGTTGAATTATACAAGAGCGGTTATAAACAAATTCAAATAAGTAAAAATTTAAACATTTTAATTTTCCGTTTCACCGTTTCGAAAATAATTCGTAAATTTAATAAAACAGGGAACGTTTCAACAGCTTTTAAGTCAGGAAGACCAAGAAAGGTGTGCAACAGGACAATGAAAGTAATGAAGAGAATATCAATGGGAGATCCAAGAAAAACATCCACAGACATTTCTCGAGAAATGGGTGAAAGGGGAATATCGGTGTCTGCACGCACGGTGAGAAGAAGGTTGGATGACATGGGACTTTTTGGAAGAGTTGCGGTGAAGAAACCACTAATATCAAAGAAAAATAGGATGGCCTGCTTTAAATTTGCTCAAGATCATCTCACCTGGTCTTATCAGAAATGGAATATTGTAGTGTTTAGCGACGAAAGCAAGTTTCAACTGTTTGGTAGTGACGGGAGACGTTATGTCCGAAGACCAAAAGGTACACGGTACATGCCCACAGTAAAACATGGGGGTGGGAGTATAATGGTATGGGGGTGTTTTTCTCGCTCAGGTGTTGGTCCTCTTGTTAAAATTGATGGGATAATGGATCGTTTTTTGTACAAAGACATATTGGAGAATAATATGCTGCCTCATGCTGATGAAGAAATGCCACTCAGATGGTTGTTCCAGCAAGACAATGATCCCAAGCACAAATCTCGGTTTGTTCAAAATTGGTTAAATGAACATAATGTTCCACTAATGGATTGGCCCTCAGTCTCCGGATCTTAACCTCATAGAAAATTTATGGGACCATTTGGATAGCAAAATTCGAAGCCATTCTATTTCAAATAAAAATGAATTATGGGAAGTGCTAAAAACTGAATGGGCGGCCATTTCCAGTAAAGATTGTACGAGATTGATCGATTCGATGCCACGAAGATGTAGAGAAGTAATTAATTCAAAGGGATATTCCACTAAATATTCGTAATTTTTATATTATCTTGAATTCTTGAACATTGTCTTTCTTGAGACTGACAATTTTCAAAATTTACACAATGTTTCTGTCAGATATGTCACTCACTCTTGAACTAAATCTAACTACTGAGCTTATATACTAAAGAAAGCCATTTATCCGCGACTGCGTTGGATGCTGTGAGGTTGTTCGTTATGGATACGTTTGATAAGTTCTTTCTACTTTTCTACTGTAGAAATTTCGATACTTGGAAAGCTAAAGATATTATTGTTACTTGATATAAAAACGGCATTTTAAAAATGCCGTTTGTGTTATTTTTGAAAATTAAAGCTGAAGTCCTCTAAGATATTTTTTATTGTTTTGTAATTGTTAGTTACTACGTACAACAATGTATCTATAAATTTTGTCAAATATTCATATTTTTTGTTTCTTAGTTAGATCTTTCACAAAATATTTCATATAGAGTTTATTATCTGTACTTGTTTTATTATTTATTGTCTTACTTCTTTTTAGAAAATGCATATGGATTATGTCACGTATTGTCCAAACCTTGTCGAAAACCAGAACCGAATTTATGGGACTTAGCCCCTACTTATAGAGATAGATGGGAAATTCCAAGGGACGAAATACAGCTTGACAGACGGTAAATTGTTTTTGTCCTACTTTATTTTATGATTGATGGTATATTGATGTCATATAATCATATATCTAGGGATTTTATGCGACCTCGACCATATATTCAAAATAACAGATCAATAGTGTTGTGTATTTAACTACAAAATAGAGATATACCGGGTGCGTCTCGAAAATGGCTCACCCCTATAAGTTTTTAATTTTTTCAGATAAAAAAACTAGATTTGGTATGTTAGTATATGACATAAATTAGGATTGATTGACATATTCAATTGTTTTGGTTACTTCCTGTTTCACCGGAAATGACTACAACTTTTGATTTTTATGCAATTTTTATGCAATGGCACCCTCGGTATATTTCTACTTTTTTCGATAGAAAAATGATACTGAGTAGAATGATATATCAAATGTCTCTAGTACACTATTACAAAATAATTTTATTTCAAAACATGACTAATATGTGATTTTATATTTTTGCCGTTGGTGAAAACTGCAGCTTTAGTATAAAAATAAGTTTAAACTATATTGTATATTTAGAATATATTTTAACATGTTATATGTGGCCCGCATATCCTTATAAAACTTGTAGCAAAAAAACTGTATCAACCTGCTTTGAAAGTTTGTTTTTGGAACAGTTTTTTATACCGATGAGAACTATCGAATGAATTAGACTATCGAATGGTTACTGAATGAATGATTTCAACTATCGAATGGTTTTATTCGAATAAAATCATTCATTCATTTGTATACTAAAGCATATGTGACAACCTCGCCGTGCGACTAAATGGTTATCGTTGAGCCACGACTATCGAATGCTTTTGATAAATGAAATTTAGTATTCGTTTTATTTTTGTGTGCGTCAGTGCATTATTACTTCTTCATAATTTTTATAACTTCGCCTTATAAATACTGTGCTATTTTTGCGTTTATTAAAATATTTAAAATACTAAAATAGTAGTTTTTTTAATTGACGATTGTGTGCGTGTGCATGTGGTCAAAATTTTTCCGAAAATTTGTGTGATTTTCCGCAGCCCAATCTTTCAATTATTTAATTTTATATGGTATATGGTCTATTTTTTAATGGGAAATTTTGAGAAGTAGCAATTTTTTAGAGAGATGAGATGAACTTACAATTAATTTTAAAAATACATATTTGTATTTTAGATGTTTTAATAATATGAATTAGTTGAACTTAATAATCATATTAATTAATGTGGTTAAGTAAATGTGGTTATCGAACTCAAACTATGGGGTGAGAAAATTAAATTGAAAGTTTTACACGTGCCAATTTAAAAAAAAAGTTAACGATGTTTGTGTTTTGTTTATAATAATTCTCTTACATGTAGTTTTTTGCGAAGAAATATTTCATTTATTTTTTAAAGTAAATGCCAGTAAAAGTAAATATTATTTTTAAATAGTAATATAAAGTACCTAATATAAATAATTTTAATTTCTAATTTTTTATTTATATTTTCCTTCCATTAGCTTTTTTCCACGCTTAGAAAATTAATAAATGTTTATATTTCATGATTTTAAAATTTGTTGTTAATATAACGAATTAGTTCTGTAATTATTATTATTTAATAAACCAACGTTGCCAAAAAATTTAGAGACTATATTATTTTTAAATAGGATCTAATATAAATAATTTTGACATTTAATTTGTTGTTTATATTTTGCTACTACTTAAAAAAAAATTATATTAAATGATTTTAAATTTTGTTGTTAATAGGTATAACAAATTATTACTGTTATTATGATTTATTAAACCAGTCTTTGTTTAAAAACATTAAAAATCATTTTCCTCTACATCCAAAATAACAAGTATTATTGCAGTGTAACAACAGAATATTAATAAAAAAAATGCAAGATATATAGACGTACTATTCCTAACTAACTAAAGCCAAACGATAATATTCTTTGCTAATATCAACTAATACCGAGACTAATACCAATATATGGCAACAGCGCCTTTCATAATGTATTTTCTGTGTAAATACTAGCACCTGAATAAAAAAAATAATGTGTCCTTATCTTTATCTGACTCGGCAAAAAATCAAAGATGCCGGCTTCTTTCATAGCATTGCCACCGACCGCTGTCGGGTTTCTCGGAAAGGAACCTCCGTCGCCGGGCGACAACTAAAATCCAGTTAATTCAATTCAATTTTTCAATTCAAAAGTACTTTATTGTTAAAAAAATATATAATTTTTTATTAACAAAGCATATTCCTAAATCTAAACCTAAAATATCTATTGCCAGCAATTTTAACATATAAAAACAGTTCCATCAAAAGCAAACATACGCGTGTAAATATAAAAACAAAAAGAAAAAAAATTGTGTAAATATAAGATTGAACAAAATACAACCATATAAACAAACAAACAAAATTCAGGAAATAGGTTTAAACAACTAAGTAAAATAACATATACAATACATAGAATAAAGATAAGATAAAATATTTCTAAATTCTAAAGACTAATATCAAGGATGTCCCGGTAGAATTCGTCAACGCTGTAAAATGCCCTTTTCAGTAGCCTCCGGAAGGTTTTTATGGAATTAACCAATCTTAAAGCAACCGGCAGATGATTATAGACCTTTCGGCCCTCATATATTATAGATCTCTAATATTTTATTATAATCGATCCTGACGAATAAATGAATTTTATAACTGAATGGTTTTTGCTGCCGAATTACTAGAATACAATATTTCAAGGCAGATGACGCATCTATTCGATAATTTTTATTCGAATAGTTTTCCACGAATGTTTTCTTACTAGCTATCGAATTATTCGAATGAATTGCAACTAGCGAATGTTTCCATAGTATTCATTCGATAGTTCCCACTACTAGTTTTTTATAATCGGAACTTATAAAAACTAGGGGTTTTATTATTTTATGTAGGATTTTTTTATTCCTATTTTTTTTATAGTTTAATTTAAATGGCAGAATATAAAACCGTAATGCTGAATTATTTCAAAATCTCTAATATTTACAAGTTAAAATAGCTTTAAATAATATAGTTACGCGTTTACTTACATATTCATCGTTACATATTTAAATACTCCTCGAATGTACGATAGTTTTGAATAATCTTTTGCAATCAATTTGTCCTAATGATGTTGGTCATTCATTATAAAATTTTATGCACTTAAATGAAGACTTTCTGTCATTTGATGTTTATACACAGGATATAATATTCTTCAAACGAGTTTATTATCGCACAGGAACATTAGACATTCATATATGTAATAGCGGTTTTATACCAAACAATTTATTTGACAAATTAGTTTCATTAAACATCTTTGTCTAATTATTAGTCAAGAACTGTTGAAACTGTCGCGGAAAATTGTTTGTTATAAATATTCGATATTTCTTGAGTAACTGGAAGATAATTATTTATGCAGAGTCGCTGTTATGTATGGAAACGCAAAAAGTTAAATATAAAAATATAGGGTTTATAATAAATAATAATTATTAAATTATAATATCTATTTGCGGGTAATAAATTTAAGTATACAGGGTCGGTCATAAAGTCGTGGCACATCAAAGTTTCATTTTTTAAATGGAATCCCCGGTATATTATTGCATGTTTCGGTTCTTCCTTCAATTCTAAGCAAAAATCGAAATACATACAATGTACCTCAAACCAACCGTTTCCGAGTTATTGACTTTTGAAAATATCACTTAAACAATTTGATTTAATTAATTTCGATATGTTCAGTTTCATTTAACGATGCCATTCTGCCGAAACTGTGATACTTGATAATATCACAGATTATAAACTTATCGTCAAAAGCATTGTTTTTCGTGGTTCCAATTTTCGTAGTCGCGCACTAGTTAAGTTACTAGTTTGCGCACAAGAAATAGCATGCCCACTTATGGCCTCTAACATTGTGCACAGCGCCTGACCGGCCCAGTTATTACGCTGTTTAAACGCGAGTTTATTTTTGCGCACAAGAAATTTTACTCGTTTGCTCATCGTCATAAAAAGCAATTTTCGTACCACGAATTAGGGACAAGATTTTTATCTGTATACATATAGTACACCTAATCTGTGATAATATTTGACATTAGTTCTCAAGTTAGCATTTATAGATGTATAAAACGAGAGTATATCAAGTCTAGAAATTACAAAATTTTCGTTTAACATTTCAATTCGTCAATTTATGTACGTAATACACATAGATTTAGGAAGAACAGATATCACATTATGCATTTTAACCCGATCAAACATTCGGAGGTTGACTACGTACTGTAAAAATCAACCGAGATAGAGAAGGCGACATTGCCACATATCAAATTTGCGCCTATCTACTTAGTTTAATTTGCAGAAAAGGTGACTTTAAAACCTTCACCGGATATCAATAAATCTCAATTTCTTAATTAAATTAATAGTTTATTTTTAAAGAAGCATGCGTAATATGTTATTAACCAGATGATATATGCGTTACTATTAAAAGACATGTTTACTGTTTAATGTGCTGAAACGTCTAGAACTACTGGCAACGTCGCTGCTAGTCTTCCAGAATGAAATGAGCCGTCCGTCCGACCTCCCCTCGCGACGGCCCGTGGTCCGTTATAGCGTACTACGTTTAGCTTACGGTGTGTTTGAAGTCGGAATCAAGTCCGAAGTGAACTTTTCAGTGTTTTTCAGTAGTTTTTGTTTTTGTTTAATGTACTTTTGAATCTGCGAATTTTCAATATGGTACGACAGTGTCAAATGTGTCGATAAATAAGCTCAAATTACCCGAATTTGTCTTTTTACAGGTAGGTATTCCGCCGCGCCGTAATCGTACATAGGCGTCCCACAAGGGAGCCTCTCACAATTAAAATAATTTCTAATTATATTTGTTGAATTTTGATCTATTAAAACAAGAACGTAGTAGCCGGTAATTGAATTATAATTCGTCTCAATTACTACCTAACTGTTGTAGATCATAACAAATTTGAATATAAACGTTACATTTGAAACTTTATTATAAGCCAGAATGTGACATTTTTTTCTTAAA